GTCGTAAGTTTGAAAAAGGGCCTTGAGTCACTTTTTTCAGGGCGGCCGTAACTTTGAACGGTCACCGAAAAAAATGGTTCTGGATGGGAGGACCGCCTACAATGAAGAAGTCAAAAATCTAAGAAATAATTAAATATATATACCTGCTCTGCTGAATCTGATGGGACGGTCAGGTGAAATCCAGGAGGAGGGATCCAAAAGCTCAGCTCCCACTCCATGAAAAGCTTTGGCGGTTTTTAAAAAAACACACCTTGAATAGGATCTGGAAGTAAACTGGCAGCCAATGAGATTCGCAGAACAGAGATGTCACACTTGAAAACACACGCAACTGCCTGCAATCACTGCATTCTGGAGCAGCTGGAGCTTCTGGATACTCTTCAAGAGCAGCCCCACGAAGAGCACATTACAGTAGCCCAATCTGGAAGTGACTGTAAAGCAGGGGTCTTCAAACTTGGCCCTTTTATGACTTGTGGACTTCAACACCCAGAATTCCTCAGCCAGGCACGCGTGCCTGGCTGAGGAATTCTGGGAGTTGAAGTTCACAAGATATAAAAGGGCCATGTTTGAAGATCCCCTGATGTAAAGGGTCACCTTGCGATGAGATGGGTGGCAAACAAATTCAATAAATAAATGAATAACACCATTCTATAAAGCCTTAGTAAGACCACACCTAGAATACTGCATCCAGTTTTGGTCACCACACTATAAAAAAGACATTGAAACTATAGAAAAAGTGCAGAGAAGAGCAACAAAGATGATTAGGGGACTGGAGGCTAAAACATGAAGAACGGTTGCAGGAACTGGGCATGGCTAGTCTAGTGAAGAGAAGGACCAGGGGAGACATGATAGCAGTCTTCCAATATTTGAGGGGCTGTCACAGAGAGGAGGGGCTCAACCTATTTTCCAAAGCACCTGAAGGCCAGACAAGGAATAACGGATGGAAACTAATCAAGGAGAGATTCAACCTGGAAATAAGGAGAAATTTCTTGACAGCGAGAACAATCAACCAATGGAACAGAAGTTGCCTTCAGAAGTTGTGGGTGCTCCATCGCTGGAAGCTTTTAAGAAGAGACTGTCAGAAATGGTGTAGGGTCTCCTGCTTAAGCAGGGGGTTGGACTAGATGACCTATAAGGTCCCTTCCAACTCTGTTATTCTATTCTAATAAAATAATAAGCAGGGCTTCCCGATCCAGAAACAGACACAACTGATACACAAACACAAAGTCCTCCTGGCCGTGACAGCTACCTATTCCTCAAGCAGGAGATGTAAATCTAGAGGAACCCCAGATTAGACAGTAGATTTGCCTGGGGCAGTGCAGCCCCATCCAGCCCCCAAGATTGCAAAGTCCGAGAATCAGAAGGCCTCAAGCCCAAAGCCACTCAAATCTTGACCTTGTTCATCTGAAGCCTGTCGTTGCCCATCTAGACCCTCACAGCCTCCAAACACTGGGATAATCAGATGGCATTCCTTAATTTCTGCCCCAAAGAAGAGGGAGTCAAGCTATTCTCCAAACTGCCTGAAGGCAGGTCAAGAAGCAACAGATGGGAACTGACCAAGGAGAGAAGCAACCTAGAACTAAGGAGAAACTTCCTGACTGTGAGAACAATTAACCAGTGGAACAACCTGCCTCCAGAGGTGGTGAATGCTCCAACACTGGAAGTTTTTAAGAAGAGACTGGACAACCATTTGTTTGAAAGGGTATAGGGTTTCCTGCCTGAGCAGGGGGTTGGACTAGATGACCTCCAAGGTCCCTTCCAACTTTATTATTATTATTAATTTGCCAGGAGCAGAGAGACATAACTGGGGTGTCATCAGAATACAGGCAGTCCTCGACTTACAACAGTTTGTTTAGTGACCGTTGGAAGTTACAATGGCACTGAAAAAAGTGACATGTGACCGGTGGTGGGATTCAGCCGGTTTGCACCAGTTCGGCAGAACCGGTAGCTAATTTTTTGTTGCCCAGGCCCAGAAGGGACTTCCAGAAGTGGCATCCATGCACAGAACCGGTTGTTCACATATTTGAATCCCACCACTGGATATTTAGATAGATACATATATACATACATACAGTGGTGGGATTCAGCCAGTTTGCACCAGTTCGGCAGAACCGGTAACTAATTTTTTGTTGCCCAGGCCCAGAATGGACTTCCGGAAGTGGCATCCACGCAGAGAACCGGTTGTTCACATATTTGAATCCCACCACTGCTTGTGACCATAGTTTCACACTTATGACCATTGCAGCATCCTCTGGGCCCCGTGATCAAAATTCGGACGCTTGGCAATTAACTCCTATTTATGACGGTCGTAGTGACCCCCTGGGAGTCACGTGATCCCCTTTTGCGACCTTCAGTGGAAGAGCCGGATTCACTTAGCAACCGTTGTTACAAACTTAACAACGGCAGGGATTTATTTAACCACCGGCAAGAGAGATCACAAAATGGGGCAAAGCTCACTTAACAAATGTTTCGCTTAGCAACGAAAGTTTTTGAGCTCAGCGGTGGCCATAAGTCGAGGACTGCCTTTATTATTAATATTAAAAGAAAAAAACAGTTTATTAAAAGTTAAAAAGCAGAGGACTTTTAAGGCTCTAATCAGCCCCCCCCCTTGCTCTGGGTACCCCAAAAAGGCCGTCTTGCACCCAGAAAGGATTGCGTGCACTGCATTTAAGTCAAGCCACAACGACACCCCTCGCCCAGCCCCTCCAGGGAAGCCAGCCAACTCCTTCCCCAGCCAGGCAAACAAGAACCGGGAGGGGGGTCCCACAGAGTTCCTGCTTGGAAGAGGGCTCATTCCTCTCTCAAACAGGGAGGGGGGGCAGCCGAATGCCAGCAGAGCCCTTGTTTTTATTTAAGCAAAGGGGAAGGGAGAGACCCCAGACCCAGAAATCAGCTGACCGCGGGGGGGGGGGAACAGCCCCTTTTCAGTCTCAGCAGGCATATTTTTCAAAGGCGGGGAAGGAGACCCCCCACTCCCCAGGCTGCTTCTCTCCGAATCACGTGCGTGGGGCTGAAAAGAGGCTACCGGACCCCCCTCCGGTTGAACCCAGCTTCCCCCCCCTCCACTTTCAGAGCGGGGCTCGCTCCTTAAAGCAAACTCCAGAGCGAAAGCGAAGAACGGAGGGGTTGGCTTTCCCCGGCCGAGCGAGCGAAGAAGGCCGGATTCAGCCCCGGCCCTCCGGAGAAGGGCGAGGCCAAGGGGGTCCGGGCCAAGCGGGGCGGACCGACTTCCCCAAGCCCGCAGGACCGGCGCCGGAGTCCCGCTGGCCAGCAGGAAAGGCGGCGGGGAGGGAGCCGGGGGACCCAGCGAGGGGCTTCTTCCAAGGAGAGCGTCCCGGTCCGGGGACAACAAGCAGGCGGGCAGACGGGTCCGGCCGCGCGGCGAAGGGAGGCAAGGCGAGCGCAGCCAGGAGGGGCGCGCAGCAGCCGCGATCCAGCGCAAAGGATCTCGCCGCGCCTGTCACGCAGCAGCGAAGGCGGGGTGTGCATGTGCGCGTTCTCTCTCTCTCTCTCTCTCTCTGTGTGTGTGTGTGTGTGTGTGTGTGTGTGTGTGTCTTTGTGTCTGTGTCTCTCTGGATTGATTTGGGAGTCTCTCTGTGTGTCTCTGTCTTGCTCTCTTCGCCTGTGTCTGCTTGTTTGTGCGTCTTTCTGTGTGTGGTTCTGTCTCAGTGTGTGCGTTTGCGCCTCTCTGGGTGTGTTTGTGTGTGTGTCTGTGTGTGTCTCTGCTTTTGTGTGTCTCTGAGTCTGTGTATCTCTGTGTGTGTGTGTGTATGTTTTTGTGTATTTCTATGTGTGAGTCTGTATCTCTCTCCGTGTGTGTGTGTGTGTGTGTGTATTTCTATATGTGTATCTCTCTCTCCCCGTGTGTGTGTGTGTCTGTGTGTTTTTGTGTATCTCTGTCTCTATGTGTATCTGTATGCGTGCGTGTGTGTGTGCTTGCGTGCAGGAGAAAAGAAGCAACTTTCCAAGCGGTATCTGCCCCCCCCCCCGTCCCACAGCCAGGACCCCAGACTCCTCGCTACAGCCCAGCCCAGTCAGCCAGCCCGTCCCGGCCCCTCCGCCTCCCCTTCGGCCCCGGCTGGGAACTTCCCTCTCCAGACCCTCCCGGAGACGCTTGGCCGCCCACCTGCCCTGCCCGCCCACACCTGCAGCTCGGCGGTGGCGGCCATTCACCTGGTCCGGGTGCTGCTGCTGGCGACTGCAGGTGCGCGGGGTGCCGGCTTGTTTACGCCCGGCCGGAGCAGGAGCGGGCCCAGGCGAGGAGGAGGAGGAGGCGGCGGCTGCAGGCGGGGCGGCGCCGGGACCCTCCCCGGCTCGGCCCCCGGGGCGCTTGCGGGTGCGGGAGGCAGGGACGGCGGCATCGGGGGCTCCGCGGCGCTGCAGGCGGGGCTGCACTTCAGGTGCGAGAGGCGCGAGGGAGGGGGACAAGGGGAGGGAGGCAAGGAAAAGGACTCTGGGAATTGTAGTTTGCAGCGGCGGGGGGGGGAGCTGCCCGAAGCTCCGCAGGCTCGGATTGCTGGCAACTGTTGGCCGAGACCGGTCCTGTCTCTGGATGTGGAGCCTCCAGTGGCAGGAGCAGTCTACCTGGCGTCGGGTGGGCAGGACAGGGTTAAGCTGCATGGTTTACCTGCCCAGCCGGGGAACTTCTTCGGAGCTGCTTTTAGCACCATCTGCCCGGCGGGGGAGGAGAGGGGGGAGGTTCCCCCAAAAGGCGCCTCTGAAAGCCGTGCTGAAAAATAGGCACAAGTGTCCGAAAGTGGGGTGCCTCTCCCCAGCTTTTAATAGAAGCAAAAGACCCTCCAGCGGGTCCAGCTTGAACGAATCCAGGTTTAAACCCAGTTTGTCTACTTCTGACTCCCCGCCAGGTATGAATTTACTTGCATCCGATTTCTCCCCCCCCCCACAAAAAAACACCACCCGGGGTAATTAATTCAATCCAAACTCGTGATCAGAACTCTCAGGGATTGGCAATTCACTCAAGGCATCGCTGCAAGATTACTCACCTTTAATATTTCTGCCCGCCCGTGTTCACACGTGCTGAATCTCGGGTCACCTAGGGTCGTCTGAATGCTGCTCGAACTTTTCCTGGGTGAGTTGGACGAGCGCGGTTTGTCGGTTGTAAAAAGGAGGTAAAATTTCCCTCTCCGCGAAAGCAAAGGAAATGGCTGTGTGGCTTGTGGGGAGATTGTGCAGATTGGGCGGTTGGAGTTGTGCAACGTGGAAACAAACAACAAAAAAAGAGGTAAAATGTCATCAAGCCTAAAAATAGATTATTTAAGGCAGGGGTGTCAAACCAAGGCCACTTGGAGACTTGTGGACTTCAGCTCCCAGAATTCCCTAGCCAGCCAAGGTTGGATACCCCTAATCTAAAAGCATTCCAAGAAGACCCTGGCTGATTATTTTTTTTTAAAGGAATAAAACCAACAAGGAAAGGGAAGAATCAATGAATAAAAGGGCAGTGATTGCCCAGAATAAATCAGATTTAAAGCCATGCAGGAATAATAGAGCTTTAAATGGGCCAGGTATGCATTGGGTGGGGGGAGAGCCTTTTCTGAAATACTTGGGGGGGGGGGAAGCACAGAGAAGGCCGTTGCCTTCCTCCCCTCCTATTTGAACCTTTTCTCCAGGGTCAGCCCAGCAGAGTTGCCTGTAAAGCTGCAACCTTGATACAGGTAAAGGAGAACAGAGGAGACCTGTGTTTTGGAAGCAGCAAACAGAGAAAGCAGCAAATAAATCTGTGTTTTTCCTTCACAGAGACTCAGTGATCTAAAACAGGGATTCCCAACCTGTGCAAGTTGAAGATATGTGGATTTCAACCCCTAGAAGCCATCTTAAAGCATGCTGGCTGGGGAATTCTGGGAATTGAAGTCTATCCACCTTAAAGCATGCTGGCTGGGGAATTCTGGGAATTGAAGTCTATCCATCTTAAAGCATGCTGGCTGGGGAATTCTGGAAAATAAAGTCTATCCATCTTAAAGCATGCTGGCTGGGGAATTCTGGGAATTGAAGTCTATCCATCTTAAAGCATGCTGGCTGGGGAATTCTGAGAACTGGAGTACCTATACGTTAAAGTTTGCTGGCTGGGGAATTCTGGGAGTTGAAGTTCACACATCTTAGACTTAAGGCATGCCAGCAGAGGAATTCTGGGAACTGAAATCCATGTGTCTTTAACGTTGCCAAGGGTGGAAAACTAGAGGGAAACGAAGACAGAAGGAAAAAGTACATTGAGGGGAAGACACAAGGCTACGTGTGACAACCACTTTGATGACAGTGAATGAGTGTTTCTAAAAATGGCAGCTTCCCAGCTGTAACTTAGGAAAAAATTCACCACACTAAAGTCTGTGCCAGGAACTGGAGAAGTGGAAGAGAGACATAGAATGTCAGTTTGGTCTTGGAATTAAGGTACCAGGCTAGAAAGTGGGAGACAGTGCGTTCTAGTCCTGCCTTAGCCATGATGGCAGCTGGGTGACTTTGGACTAATCACCAGGAGATGGTGAGTTCTAGTCCTGCCTTAGGCATGAAAGCCAGCTGGGTGACTTTGGACTAATCTTCAGGAGATGGTGAGTTCTAGTCCTGCCTTAGGCATGAGAGCTAGCTGGGTGACTTCTCTCTCTCTCTCTCTCTCTCTCTCTGCAAAGAGGAAGAAAGGAAGAAAAAGAGAAAGAAAGGAAAGACAGAGAGAGAGCAGGCAGAATCTTAAAGATTCCTCAACTATTTTTCATAAACCAGAAAACATTGCATTTAAACGCACACATGCACACGCACACGCACACGCACACAAAACAGAGTGTCTGGCAAACATCATCCATACGATTGAAGATTTGTATTTTTTTAAAAAAGACTCCTTCATGTATGCCTGGCGTTTGGTGTTTTCCACACACTGGTTCTGGTGTGTGTGTGTGTGTGCTGAGAACTTTATTAATATATTTGCAAACCCTTGAATTTTTTTCAACTAGGATTCAGGGTTGCGAAGGAGGTCTGTTCTAGGGTGTGGGTGCTGCTTTTATAGTCATTTTATAGAATTAGGTAGGAGGAGACAGCTGTGTTCATTTACAGTAGCCAAAAATCAGGAGGCCAAGTTTGTGCCTTTTAATAAAACGTGTTAGAGACGGTTTTCATCAGACACCTTCTGATTTACAGCAAGGGTGTTGATTCATATCCTCTGCATTGCAAATGTTATTTGTGTAGTGATTTTTATCCCCTGTTTAAATTCAGGCTTTCAACGAAGCCTAAAAGCCTAAATTGCAAGAGGAAATCAAGTAAATAATAATTCCACTTAAATAAGTAAATAAGTATACAAATAAGTCTGTGTCTTTCAGCCCTTGGAAGGAGAGCTAAATAGCAAAACCATTTCCAGAAAAAACCTTGCCAAGAAAACTACAGAGACCAGGCCAGGCGATTGCCAGGAGTCAACACTGACTCAAAGGCACTAAAAAACCCCCAAAAATGTGTTTGTGTTGTGTGTGTGTGTGCGTGCACGCACATGAGCATGTTCTTTTTATAATCCTGTTAGATCTTTAATGACCCTGAAGGTGATTTGATGGTGACATTGCCTTGCATGGCCACACACATTACCCGCAAACAAGCTTTTCCCTACACACTCACACACATGCACACACCGACACACATACACACACACACACACACACACACACACACACACACACACACACCCTGCTGAGTCCTCTGAACCACCCTTCCGTGCTGTGTTTTTAACAACCTTTAGATCGGCCTGTTTCCCTGCTTCTGATTTTATGGCTTTTATCAGTGTGCGTTAAGTGGATTTTTTTTTTAAAATCAGTTCTGAAATTGCAATCCCTTTATGACCTCCTATCATGTTTCAAGTTGCATTTCTTTATTGCTTGTTTTAAAGATAAAGAGGGTTTTTAAGGAAAAAAAAACAAACAGCAAAAACAAGCAGAGGTGGGCAATTCATGATTTCCCAACATCTCTAGGCCTTAAATACAAGGATTAAGTGGTGTTCTGGGCTTGGACACTGCAAAATTCCACTTAGGTTTGATCGTGTTTTGCAAGAGGTGAAGGCCATGTTTGGTGCTGGGGGAGGAGATGTCCCCCCCCTTGTTAGAAATAGATGTTTCAATAGAACAGAATCTTTGTGGCTCAAGGTTGAACTGGGGTCCTTGGTGTTCTCTGAGCTTGGTGGTTTTCATGCAGATGTTTCATGACCCAACTAGATAACGCCATCAGTGTTAGACGGGAGGAGGAGAAGGAGGAGGAAAAAGTGGAGGAATAAGACTATGGGGTTCTTAATGCTCTCTAATCATGGTGTTTTTTTCTTGCAGACGTTTCATGACCCAACTAGGTAATGTAATCACTGCTGGAAGGGAGGAGGTTTGGGAGGAGGAAGAGGAGGAGGAGGAAGAGGAGGAGGAGGAAGAAGAGGACTATGGGGTCCTTGGTGCTCTCTGAGCTTGGTGGTTTTCATGCAGACGTTTCATGACCCAACTAGGTAATGCCATCAGTGTTAGAAGGGAGGAGGGTTGGCAGAGAGGAGGAGGAGGAGGAGGAGGAGGAGGAGGGGGACGACGACTATGGGGTCCTTAATGCTCTCTTAATCCTCCTCCTTCTCCTCCTCTCCATAAACCTCACTTCCTTCTACTTCTGATGGTGTCACCTAGTTGGGTCATGAAATGTCTGCAACAAAACAAGCAAGCTCAGAAAGAACCAGGGACCCCAGAAAGACATGTTTTTTTGGCCGGAGCCTGGTGTTGTAGGGAAAAAAGAATTCAACCGAGCCCACGGCATAATTCGTCACCAGTGGCACTTTTTAATGGCAGTCTCTCTCGACTCTCTTAATACCAACATGGCGGAGAGGGATAAGCTTCTGAAACAAACTCAGGATGAATAATATAGCTGTCCCTCTCCGGCCCTCCAGACCTCTTAAAATGACTCGTGTCCCATCTGCAAGGAGAGAAAAAGAGAATTAGCAAAACTCACCAAGGCTGCACATCCAACTATCCACCATACCAAAGTCTTCCAACCTTCTTACTCCATCTAAGTGACCAACCCTCGCGGTTTCCCTACTAATGAGTGGGTGTGCTAGAATTTGGGGTCCAAACAGATGGGGGTGGCTAGCAAAACTAGATAGCATACTAAAAAGCAGAGGCATCACCCTGCCAAAAAAGTGCGTATAGTCCAGGCCATGGTTTTCCCAGTGGCAATGTATGGCTGTGAAAGTTGGCGCATAAGAAAGGCTGAGCGCCAAAGAATGGAGGCCTTTGAACTCTGGTGCTGGAGAAGACTCCTGCGAGTCCCCTGGACTGCAAGGCGATCCAACCGGTCAGTCCTAGAGGAGATCAACCCCAACTGCTCTTTAGAAGGCCAGATCCTGAAGCTGAAACTCAAGTACTTTGGCCACCTAATGAGAAGGAAGACTTCTCATTAGGTGGCCAAAGAGAAGAGAAGAGCCTAATGCTGGGAAAGATTGAAGGCAACAGAAGAAGGGGACGACAGAGAAGGAGATGGCTGGATGGAGTCACTGAAGCAGTAGGCGTGAGCTTAAAGGGACTCCAGAAGATGGTAGAGGACAGGAAGGCCTGGAGGAATGAATGTCCATGGGGTCGCGATGGGTCAGACACGACTTCGCAATTAACAACAACAACAGTTAGAGAAGGCTACCTCTAGTCTTACAAAATCCCCTTATTTCCTGTCTAGAAAGAAAGAAGGAGCAAGTCTGCAAAGGTTAATCATCAGGCCAATGAGGAAAAAGGTACCGTATATTCCGGCGTATAAGGCGACTGGGCGTATAAGACGACCCCCAACGTTTGAGAAGATTTTCAGGCTTTAGAAAGTCATCTTATATGCCAGAAAATACAGTACAATATTGGATTTCTGTTTATAGATGAGCACAATAGGAGCTCCTTTGCTGCTAGAAAGCTTTGTCCTGTCAGTGCTTATTTCTGTAAAAAAAAAAATAGGGCTGGCCACTAGGGGGCAGATTGGTTTTAAATTCAGAGAACAGCTACCCGTATATTCCTGTGTATAAGACGACCCCTGACTTTTGAGAAGATTTTCAGGCTCTAGAAAGTCGTCTTATACACCGGAAAATACGGGTACGTGATTTTTTCCAGCAGGAATATTTGGTTGGGGGAAAAGGAGAGTTTAATCTCTGAAGGTCCTGCCATTGGAGGTTTCACTCATCTATTCCTTCGCCTTTCTGTTTTCATTTTAAAGACAAGTTTCTAGTCCTCATGGCTTGCTGTGAAAGTGGGTGAGTGATCAAAAGCAGAAGTAGGCATCCACGAGTTTGAAAGTTGCCAAGGTTGGACACCCCTGCTCTAGATTACAGGTAGTCCCTGACTTACAACAGCTTGTTTAGTGACCATTCATGGTTACAACGGCACTGAAAAAGTGGCGTAGGGCCGTTTTTCACACGACCGTTGCAGCATTCACTTGATCAAAATTTGGACTCTTGGCAACTGGCATGTACTTATGACGGTTGCACTGTCCCGGGGTCGCGTGATCCCCTTTTGCGACCTTCCGACAAGCA